ACCAGCCCACGACGACGAGATCGACACAGAATCAGGAGGTGAGAAGATTGAGGAGAATAGATGCAAGCGTGACTGAGGAGGGCATCACGAAGATGAAGCCGGGACAGTCTGAGGGTGGAGAATGGGGAGGCAAGGTTGGGTCTGAGTTGAGACGGTTCTTTACAGGACGATAGAGGATTGTTACACGGCAGTATGTGTTAGCGAATCAGGACCCTATTCACATGCGAATTATGTATCAAGTTTTAAGAGAAGTCTGTTTACATTCGTTACGTGCTCGAGTATTCAGCGAAATCGGACTAGAAGAGCAGTATGAAGAAGCTACCTATGTAGGCTATACAGGATGAACCTCTGAGCTTGGTGATCGCCAAGAGGGAGAGAATTACAGTTTCGGCAAACCAATGAAATGGCTGTATTATCGTGATCATCAGGATAAAGCCCGAGACGGATGAGGTACGTAATTAATCATGATAGCGTTCCTATCGGTTCGGCACCGGAAGCGGAAGCGGACGGCCGAGGCACGGAGCCAAGCGAGATCTTACTGGGCGCCATAAGAACGGTTACGGAACAAGGGAGCTTTGGTATTCAATTAAGCTTGAGACTGATAACATGAGCGTTGTACTGAGGAGACTGAAGTCTTTGTGATAAATTCAATAAATGACTGACTCCGTTGAGGAACGTGATCACATTGACTTTGAGGAGGGGAATGGAGGTTTCCACCAGCCAAAGAAGCCCAGCCGGACCCAGCTAAGGCCAAGCTCTGGCGGGGTAATTGAAAGGTAGGTAGAGAGAGGCAGGTGAGTTAAGTCTTTGAAGCATTGTTGAACTCTGCTGGATTTAGAGTCTCATGCATTGGGCATATGATAGCATTATCATCGAGTAATTGAGTTAATCAAATGGCTGTAATCACGGGCATGTATATACATATCATATCATAGATCTATAGTCGTCCATATTGGCAGCATCCATCATCATTCTTTGGAGCTTACCTCAACCGCGGGGTTAATTGGCCTGCGCTAGCTCTGAAGATCCAATCCAGTTGTCAAAAGTACCCCATTTTCATGCCCTAAATTCCACTCACAAAATTCAAATTTAATTGCAACAAATCGTTAAGCGAGGACAAGGTTTCTAGCGCTTTGCGTGTGCGTCAGAGTTCCCTCAGCGTCCCACCTGATGACCAGTAATAACAGCTGCCTCAGGGCATGTTGTGCGCTGTATGTATGTACTTGAAGAGAATTGTCAGTAGGTACCGTCCCGTAGTTAGATCAGGTAAAATACAAGAGGCAGACGGAGCGGGAGTGGGAAGAGAAAAAAAAAAAAAGAGGTTGGTCCAATTAATAATTGTCTTAGTACCTAAATTTGTTACCAGTAACATTAGACTATGATTTGAGTCTTCATCGTGGGCACCATTAATTAGGTCTCGAGCAAAAAAAAAAAAGGTCGAGAGGGTCACACCACACCAATAGAAGCCAAAAAATACCTACTTACAGTGCCTAAACCTTACGAGACTCCCTCTCTCTCGACTTGTCTCGACTCGACTCAACTCAGCCAAACCTGACTGAGCCCTCCACTCCTACAATCCAATACTCGCTTCGGACCCCCCCCTTCTGCTGGCTGGAGTCTCTACGTACGTACCTCACTCAACCAAACCCAAACCCAAACCCAAACAAAACCACCAAAAGCTCTTCCTCTTACAAGGTCATGCGACCGTAGACCACTCTTCGTCGCCCTCAAGATTTGAATTACGCCCCGGACGGAAGGCGATAAGCCCAAGGCGACGACCAAAGATGTCGGTTGTCACAAAGGTACGGCTCACCTCTCCTCTTCTATTGTTCTCCTCTCCTCTCTATTGTATGCAGTGTACCCCCTGCGATCTCGACTCGAGTTTTGGTTTGGGGCGCTGGATTGGGTTGGCAATTTTGCATCACAACGCCGGTGATCGAACTCTCTTGTATGAGAACGCTCGCTCTCGATGGCTTCAGCAGTCGCATTTGCTTCTGCTGCTTCTCGCCTGCTCCACGCCTCTGCTATTTCTTGTCGCATCGCCCATCCTCTCGCCCATTGTTCAAAACAAGCCCCTCATTCCCTTCACTCGTCATCGCCCATCAGGTTGTTTGCCCTAACCTAACGCGACGGCCTGCCCCCTCATACTAAAACACCACAAATACGATACCGCAATAGCCAAATAACCATATAATCATGCTAACGCTCTGTCCAGAACCCTTTTGCCTACCTCGGTACGATTCCTCCTCTCCCCGCTTTCCCCGCGAGAAACAAAAATCCAAATCTTGCTTCATCGACTCCGATGCCCAATGCCCAACTCAATTACGATCATTCGTACTGACATATCGACTCCTTCACAGGCAACGACAGCGACGGCGAGGAGAAGCCCGTCGTTCCTGTCAAGACCGTTGACAAGAACACTGCTCGTACTACTAAGCGTAATGTCGAGCCCCAGGCTCCCGTAAGGGCCGGTGGTGCTGGCGGTAACCGCCGTGGTCCTGGTGGTAACGAGGGTGGTGAGTTTTAAGCACCGGAAATTGAGTCGATAGCCAAAATACTGACTCGGAATAGCTTTCCGGGATCGTGGTGCTGGCAGCAACCGAAACCAGAACCGATCCACTGAGGAGGCTCCTCGTGATGGTCCCCGAGGCGGTGCCGGTGCTCGTGTCCGTGGTGGTGAGTAGCCCGAGGACTTTGGCCATGGCGAACAAAAGCTGATAATCTGTAGGACGTGGCGCTAGACACGCCCGTGAGCGCGATGACCGACACCCTTCCAAGTTCGGCGGCCACGGGTATGCTTGACTGAATCTCCTGGTCTTGTTCGACATGCTGACAGAATACAGTGGCTCTGACAAGCAGGCTGCCCAATCCTGGGGTGCTAACGAGGGTACTGCTGAGCTTAAGGACGAGCAGGCCGGTGAAGCTATCGCTAAGGACGAGCAAAAGGATGCCGTTGCTGAGGACGCTGCCGCTGAGGCTGCCGCCGCCGAGGAGGAGGCCGAGAAGCAGGTCTCTTACGAGGAATATCTCGCCCAGCAGGCTGAGAAGAAGGCCGCTCTCGACTCCGGTCTCAAGGTCCGTGAGGCCAACGAGGGCAGCAAGCTCGACAAGAAGTGGGCCAACGCCAAGCCCCTCGAGAACGAGGAGGAGGAGTACTTCGCCCCTACCGGAGGCAAGGCACAGCGCCAGCGCGAGCGCAAGGTCAAGCAAACCATTGACTTCGACCCTCGCTTCGTCGAGCCTGAGCGCACCCGAGGTGGTGCTCGCGGAGGCCGAGGCGGCCGTGGAGGTCGTGGCGGAGAGCGTGGTGGTGACCGTGGCCGTGGAGGTAACCGCGGCGGTCGCGGCGGTGCTCCTCAGGGATCTGCTAAGGGCAATGCTGCTATTAACACCAGCGACCAGTCTGCTTTCCCCAGCCTCGGCGGCAACTAGATTGCCTAAGCCAAAGCCTGCGCGCCTCGCACAAGAGAGCGCCCCCCAAAAAATCCCCTGCTTGCACCCTCTCACAGCATAAGGCAAACACGGGTCAACGTCATGCATGTCCCACGCCCTCCCCCCTTTTTCCTTTTTCCCCATCAACTCGTCACGATTATAAGAAGGGGGTGGAAAGGATGCCATATTCGTTGTTCTTCGACAGGTTGAAATGAAAAAAATAAGTTGACCATTGGTTTTTGTGTCTGGCTGGATGGTCTGCGTCCAACGGGCGAAGTGCTGCGTGATATAGGGAGGATTTGAGCTCAGATCTCACTAGCTCTGCTGCACCCAGAAATATTTCTGTCCTCTAGGTCTTCTCGAAGGTTTTCCGTACAAAATTCATTTGAAATGCTCTTATATCTATGCTGTCTGATGTGTGATTCGCCATATGAAATTGAATGCCCTGGGTTACAACCAATAGGCAACGTGGGCGCCTTTACTCTACATTCTATTTACGTAGCATTAAGGCCTTGCAGACTGCCTACTTATTCGTTGTTGTGCATTGCTCGATTTGCTTACTGGCTGTCACCGTCCGTAGGCCAGCATTACCCACCCCCTTTATCTACACCTATAACTAGCACTCAACTTTTGCAGCGCAAACGAGCCCAAAAACTCTCTGGGATTGTGCAGTTCTTTGTTCTCACCGTATAAATGCTTACTGTACAAGCTCGCAAGCCAATAAAAGGACGTAGGCGGAATCTGATATATCACATAGCACCTGTCAGGGATATGGGTAACTAACATATTGCGAACGACGAGCACTTATTGTCCTAGCACAAGGATGATTTGAATTCCCTTAGAAGAACATATGGACTGTTTACAGCTTGAGATATTGTTCTTTCCAATGAGCTACGTCGTGTGGTGAAGCCATCCTTGGAACCAGCATTCGAATCAACCTTGCGAAGCGCCTTGAAGCAAGAACTGCGTCAACTTACACCTCGAACAGTCTCCTATGTTCTATAGAGCTAGTAGAAATAGTCTATGTTCAGTGACAGTCACTATGTGCTTGCACTCGCAGCTCTTAGTCAGCTTCGCTAGAGCGACCTTGACTTGAGGCGTAACTCGCTCATTTTTTGGTCGTTGAAGCTTGTTTGAGCTCTGATAAGCTTGATAGACTGAGATAGGGCTCGATTATACGAGTTGAAATAACAAAATGTGCTTAATTATGCATCTTAATGGCCCCTTTGGCCTCAACGTCCTTGAACGGGCTCTTTTTTATTTAAGCCCCTTTTCCATCGACCAGATTATTTTGTAAGTATTGAACTGTTTTCGAACAAATGAACATAATTATATGGCTGTTCAGTAGCTATTGGAGGCTATGCTAGAGAATTTGAGTATAAAAGCCCGTCCTTGGAGGGCTTCATTATTTTCCCTCTCCACTCACTTCAGAGCCAAACAACCTCTTGAGAATACTCCAGTAAGGGTGTGACGATACCAAAGCAATTTCACAAGTATCCTTTGCCATCATTTCATGCTTAGAGCACTGCCTACATCCAGTAGTGGCCAAGCAACCACAAACCACCACAATGAAGTATTACCAACCCATCGACCCTGAAGACCAGGAGAGCGATGAGGACAATATCTTCAAGCAGTACCTTGAGCGTTTTTGTCTCAATATGGAGTATCACACGGAAAACTTCAAAGCTGCCTGCAAAGATGCCCGTGATGAGCTTCATGATAAGCTTCGCTGCAAGTTCAAGCAGCTCCAGGAGTCGATACATTGTCGTATGAAACGTCGACGTTAGGTCAACACTCCACTTGGCTTCGATCTGTAAGTTTGATCATAGCGCTGACAAGAAGAGAGATGAGAATCATGGTGAGACCGAAGAACAATTGTGTAGGTATTAGAAATCTGGGTTGAGATCCAGGGGGTGGGGTACATATTTGACAACTTTCAGCACTGGTATCTGGTACGTTTAAGGATAGTAGTCCTAATAAACTTGTACACGCCTCATCCAAAAGTTTCTTCTTTAAATAAGTGATGTTTTGCTATGATAATGACACTATACTGGTGACCATTGTAAGGTCTAATGAAAGGGGAGAACAATGCTTTTCATTAATTTCGTATCTAGTTACAAGAAGACAGAGACGCTGCAATATCTTACACCCGATGTGAAAATGTGTGCGAAGCATCCATTCCAAGAGAGAACGCGAGCAAAACAGCGTTAAAAATGGCCATCATGTAGAAAGGCGCCCCGTTGGAGAGTTTGTCAAAGAGGAAGCCCCCTAGCTTAGTAAGGAGCAAGATGGCAAAGCCACCGTACAAAGAATACACGCCTGCAATAGAGCCTTTAAGGCGGATGCGAGAGACTGACTCTTGGTCCGTCGTAATGCTGATGAGAGGCCGGCTCTCATCGTTGGCTGATTCGTACTCCTCTGGCTGGAGCAGGCTTTCGGGGCGGGCGGTTCGAGGCAGCTCAACTGCGAGAACTCCACGACCAAGAGAACCAAGACTGCAAACGATAGCGCCGATCTGGCTGATACCAAGAAGCGAAACAATAAAGAAAATTGCGGGACTGCCGCCTCGGCCGTCTACGTCCTTGATTTCAGGACTGGAGAGTTGCGGAAGGGCGACGTAGCCTACGATACCAAAAACGGTTGAGACAACAATGGGGTAGTTGATACGGCCAGTTCGACTGGCAAGGTACCCGAAGATAGGAGCGCAGATGAGGCCCATGAGTTGCGCCACACCAGTAAGTATGGAAGACAGGACGTATGCAGCTCTGCACTCCTCCTTGAGTTCGGGTGACGAGTCGTGAGGCGAGCCTTTGCAGAAACCGTTGCTGATGTAAAACGTGTTGACGTAAAGAGGGATGAAGAGTGAGATGGCAACGCTTGAAGCTCGGGCAACAAAACCGCCAACATAGCCAAGTCCGATTCGCGAATCAACGAAGCCAAGGAAGACTGAGTCTTTCATGAGGTGGAGATACGGCGCAAGCTTCTATATCTTGTTAGTGAATAATCTACCGGGTCAAATTGTGTTGGACTTACACGTCGCTCACGACCGTTTCCGTCACTTGATTCGTCATCGTTCTTCAGTCCGAAGAGCATTCTCCAGCCCTTACCCTCTTCGCCTTTGATGTTGCGCAAACCGATCGCAACAAAGATAGACACGGCCAATGCGACAGCCGCAACAACGTAGAAGCTATACGATACCGCTTCAGCGGGGGTAGTGCCTTTATTCTCGCCAAATCGCGCCGGGAGGGGGAGGAACAGCGTCAGTGCGACAAGCGCACCGCATCCAGTAAACAGTCCAACGAATCCCGCTAGCTTGGATGGCCTTCCTGCAGCAGTATCGGCGGTATCTGTTGTGCTCGGCTCAGAAATAGACTGTGTGTATCGTTCCTGGGTGATTGTGGCTTCGGATTCGACAGAGAAGGCAATGCTGCTTCGGGCAGTCGCATTATGAAGAGCTTTAATTCTGGCTTGGGCTTCATCCTCCTCGTTGTTGCCATCGTCCGTCAAAGATGGGAGTATCGCAGTTACCATTGTGGCCCTTCCAAAGTTAGCAATGCCCGTTCACGTAAGCTATACTCTGTCTGTCTCAACTCACGCTGCAGATGCGCCGATTGCGAACAACACGCGAGCCAGCAACAATTGGGGATATACAGTCTTCGCCTGCACAAACAGAGCCAGCGAGACACCGATTATCGCGTATCCAATGACAGCGACCCATCTAACACCCAGACGATCCGACACAAGACCCCATCCTGGACAAGCGACGAGCGCAACGAGCTCATCGACGAAGCCCAGAGTTCCCACGACATCACCAACGCCTTCCTTCTGCCCAATCAGGTCGGTGATAACGAAAGAAACAGAACTGTTCAAGAAGACAAGAAAGGAGATCGAGAAGAGCGATATGCCGAGAAGGTACGTCAGTGCCTGCAGGGGCGTCGTCGACGGCGCAAATGGTAGATATCGCAACATGGCGGGGTTCTTTCGGAAGGATTGTTGTTTGGAAAAGAGGAGGGATAATCACATTGCAGACACAAAAACAAAACTCGTATTTGGGCACGCGGAATGTTGACGTAGTGGTTTGTTCTAAGCGCGATGGGTATAGACTATGTGATGAAATGGATGCCAGAGCTGGGCTGCCCAGACAATAATAGTGCTAAACAATAAGGGCGGATGACCGGGGAGCTAGACTACCTCCTACCTAATTCCAGCGTGAAGCTCGGATATCGATCGAATGACGGGGCCATTACATAATCTGCACGCATCATGTATGCACCCGATATCGCACTTGGAGAAAAGAGCATCGTAAGATGTTGATTGATTCAGTCTTGGAACACGAAGTTTGTAGCTGATGCTGAAAAGTGAGCCTCAGTCAATATCGCATGGCGTTCAAGTTGTTACACCATAATCACGATTCGCTAAGATCAAGCTAGCTCCATATGTGTCATGTCTCCATGTGTAAGTCAAATTCACCATGTAAATAAACATCCACGTATCTAGCAGCTTTTCATCCCCAACCTATAACTAAGCTTCTGTCTACGACTGCCTTCATGATCGGCTCCATGCTGCATTCCAGTGATACAAGATACAAGTTCCCCATACTCCATGCCTGTGCCCCAACTCCATTAGTCCATTATCCTGTAGGTCCCGTTTTACCAGGCCCAGAGCACCTTGTGGTGAAGAGTCCTGGCACCTAGCCTCTCGAATTCGAAAGGTGCAATCCATGAGTCGTTGGTCGACAACTTAGCAAACACACTGGCACCTTTCCAGGTGACCACTTGCTCGTCCATATCTCTCGCGCTTCGACTCACGAGGATCCGATCGCTGAGTTCGGGTCGTCGGGCCTTGATCTTCTCCTCCAGGACAACCGTAAAGTGAGGAATCTTGGCGCCACCACCAATAACCATGATACTTCCAAGTAAGTCTCGCAGCTTCTTCTCATCGCCCTTAGCGGCGTTCTGAATACTTGTGAGAATGGCAATGTCGAGAGGTGCGACCGGTAAAACGGCGTCTCGCTCAGCGGCCATGGATTTGGCGGTTCGGGCAGCAGCATCGACAAACATGCCTGCTGGTGGTTGTGTTTGTCCAGGATTAGGGGTGCCCCCAGCACGAGAACCATTGGGCGCTGGGCTACCTCCATTTACACCCTCCCTGTCCTTGCCAAAGACATATGGAAGCGGCGTGTTAGCGCCCTCCGGCGCAGGAGACCCGGCATGAGAACCCATGGGGGTTCCGTTGGTCATGCTCTCCTTCGCTCCAAGGAAGTTGAATTGTTTGTTCTCTTTGATAGGTGTTGAGATATCGGGCTGTGACAGTGTGAAGCCATTGGCGTTGGACGTTATCGACGGCTGGACAAGCGCTAGAATAGCTAATTGGGCGGCAGAGGTGGGATCGTCTGGAATATCAACGTCGTAGGCGTTATAAGACCTCTCAACCAGCTTACGCCGTCCTCTTAGCTTCGTGCTGTTATCGAAGATGGCGGGGTCATACACTCCCATCGGAGCCAGAATGACCTCATCGTATGTCTTGAAAGCGTATTTCCGCGTTGGTTGGTTAGGAGCCCGAACATGGAAGTTGAAGAGTTGGACAGAGATATCTGCTTGCGACATGGTACAGTGCTTAATCTTCAGCTCTTCAGCAAGAAGGAAATCGTATCGTCGTCGCAGGTTCATGTCCTGGTAAGGAAAGTTGTCATAAAGCATCATTTTCAGGAACGTATCCGTGATATCGTAGCCTCCGTATTTCAGGTTGATCCTTGAATCTTCGATGACAAGACCGTCTTCCACACAGGTCACGGCCGTCTTCTGAGCTCCCACATCGACAACACAGGCTTGTGTGTATCCGGCACCAAAAGTTGCAGCCATTCCTTCCTGGACGAAACATACCCTGGAGAATTCGAACCAGGTCATGCACGATCGAAGTATTTGCTCCACGTATTTCTTGTCGTACAAGTCAGGAATGACAAACACGCAGCTGTACTGTTGCCACTCGCTGTTTGTCTTCAGTCCAAGCTCTTGCCTCAATGCCTTATCGAGTAATGTTTCAAAATCATCATACATATGCTCCTGACTTGTGTACCCATCCTCATTCCACTGTCCATGTTGTATAGGCCACCAAAGTTTGAATTTGGGATTCGAGTCGTCGGGAACACGCTCCGCTTGGTGTCCAATAAAGCACGAAGCTAATGAGTCGGGGTCATCGAGCGTTTCGATATCAGTCCATTCGATCTCAAGGGGGTCATTGTGCTTCTGGATAACTTCGGGTTCCGTGCGGCGGTTGAAAGTCTGAACAAGTTCCTTCGAGTTGGGCAAGACTTTGCGCTTATTGGCTCTCATCTCGACCTTGAGGTCATTGCACATCTTGTTGTATTTCTTTGACCACTCTTCGCCGTACTGTTGGTCGGGGGTCTTGGCCTCGAACTGTCGTCGTGGTAAGGCCTCATACATCTCGGATTCGGTCTGGGGAAACTTGGTCGCCAGCGTCATCGGAATTGTCTTGGGGAGGGCGTCGCTCGCAAAGCCTATTCGAAGATTTTGACTGCCGGGGTGGATCACAATGACCCTTGAGGGATCCAGGCCAGCCGATGGTGTTGTAGCACCATCTTCGTCTGGAAGGTCTGCGACAGGAAGTGGTAGCTCTCCATTGGCCGTCTTGGATAGAGCGCGATCTCGGTCCCGAGCACTTTGTACTAGTCGGTCTCGGGTGGCATCGCTCTGGAGGCGGAGGGCGAGGATTTGGTCATCGCGCTTCATGTAATCACTAACAAAGCATCAGCATAAACGCCGCTTATTCGAAAGGGTCATCGTACGTATAATAGTTTTTCTGATTGATTGGGGTGACATCAGGCCATGTCGTCAGCTTCATGCCATTGTCAGTTCTCTCAAGGCCTAAGGCAATCTGTCAGTA